GCGCCTAACTCCCCCATCCTCCATCTTATCCTAATCCCACCCCCATCTGCAACCTCCTCCTCCTCCCATAGTCTGCTTGCAGCAGAGCTGAATCCGGATGACATGCAGCCACATGCAGCTGATGGACTGTTACTCTACTGTATAATAGGCTACTGCCTTTCAAGTTGAAATCAGAACTTGTGTTCTGTAAGAATATTGTTTCTTAAAAACATATGGCCAAATCTCTTCTTTCAAACATTTAACCATAACAGGTGCTTACAAGTAGGCCCACAGCAAAAATACAAAGTAGACTAGGAAAACCCTTGTCTTTATCATTTCAATACATTCCCTGTTTCTTCTTTTTTAAAATTTAGTTATATTATTTAAAAACTGAACACCAGTATGTCCCTTATTTCAACCTTCCCAACAAAATAATACACTCCCTAATAACTAAATGTTTTTAACTGATTGTGATCAGATGCTGTCCTGTATGTCCCCTATGTCCTCTATGTCCCCTTAAAAGCCTGACACATGAAACCTTTGTAGACTACATTTTTGGTTTCTGTTGACTTAACAAAACCATGTTTAGTAACAGTGGCCATTCTTACAAGGTGTCTGTGATTTTAAATGTCAGAAAGCTCAGATGTATTGACCCTAACCACTGGGTGTCATTTTTGTCTTCACTCCTGCCCTACACAAGGGCCAAGATCCCGGAAACCAAAGAAGGAACCAGCTCCGAGTAAAGAGGACAAGCGACCCCGGACAGCCTTCACCGCCGAGCAGCTCCACCAGTTAAAAACTGAGTTCCAGAACAACCGGTACTTGACTGAGCAACGGAGGCAGAGTCTGGCCCAGGACCTTGGCCTCAACGAGTCTCAGATCAAAATATGGTTTCAGAATAAACGGGCCAAAATCAAGAAAGCCTCTGGGAATAAAAACTCTTTGGCACTTCACCTTATGGCACAGGGACTGTACAATCACTCCACTGCCAAGGAAGCAAAGTTGGATAGTGACTAGAGGATACACAGGAAGAGAGGGAGTTCTGAACCATGCAATGAAATCAGTACCAGCATTCTTATTTAATACTCAAGCAGAGACGATATTGTGACATTGTGTTTGTCTTCGGTGTGTGGGTGCAGGCTGCTAAGTGAAATTTCATGTTTGGCACAAAAGGACCACATTTCAGAATAAAGTATAGCCTAGATTATTTGATGGCACTGATAAATCGGCCTATTTATGAGTTCAAACGTATCAGTCACTGGCAGCTGAAGCAATAAAGCTGGTTTCAGATAGCCTACCGTTTAGGTTTACAACAGGGGATATGTTTTGATAGAATTAAGAGTAGGCTATGCATTTCTAAAAAAAAAAAATCTAGGTCTAATTCTAGGACTGCTTTTGAAATGTTTAATCACTAAAATAAAAAGAGCTGATATCAGGTAACTTAATTTCAATAAGCCTGAAATAGAAGCCAGTTTCCAAAGCCACATTAATGAAAACATTGCTTTCAGCACTGGACTACGGAAACCTTTACAACTGTCCTGCTACACATGACGCTGTAGAGCAGTGGGCAAGTTAAAGCACAGGAAACATAGGCTATCTGTGATGTCTTTTCTCAGGTCCAATAGGACCTGAGGATTAGGAGCTTGAGGGATGAGGGAAGTGAATGGGACACCTTGCTACAGCACTGGGGTCCCGTTAGGCTCAGCTGTTGTGTCTGATTGACCTTAGTGATTACGAAAAGTATATGCTGAAATCCAAAGATTTTTTCCTGCTGCATTCTGGAAACTGTGGATTGAGAAAATGGCCTACTTTGTGCTCTCCGTGTTTTGTATTTTCTGACTATTTTCCACTCTTGTTTGCTGTAGTTCTTACTGGATTTTGTGGGCACACTGTGGTCAGTGTTCAGCTGTGCACCGGATTTGCTCTAAAAATACCTTACAGCCTGTAAAGGGCACCGAAATGCACCTAAAATCTGGGAATGTGATGACACAGTTTATATCAGGAAATGCCTACGTTATAATTTATGATGTGATTTTAGATGGAGCTGAAAGAAAGCAGCATAAAACCATAACCCCACTTTTATTTTTATTTCCTATTAGGGCACAGCACAACACTACTTGAAAGGTTGTGCTGTTAAAATTACAAGCTCATTTGAATTTTTACTAAATTAAATTTCAGCCTCAAGTAAGTCCAACAATTCCCCGGATGTCCCAGAGTCAGGCCATCATCAGCCTATGCTTATCTTGCTCTTCTCTGAGTGACTGCCAGCTCGGTCATATCATGTGCATCAGTCGTCTACAGGCAACATGTACACCCATGAATGTTCCAGAAAACAGGCCATGTTTGACTTGTTAACAAAGACCTTTATATTCTTATTTATAATACAATGACCATCTATAGCCATGTGGAAATGGGGCTCTAGACTGTTTACATCAGTGATTTTTCCTGGGTCTAATTCATGTGGATCCAAACCAAATCATGTGCTTATTACTATGCTGTGAATGTTTATTTTTATTTGATCTTAACTGTTAATTTTGTCTATGTGTTTTGGAAGCCTGTGTTCTTGCATTCAGTTACAGACTTGGAAAACTTCTACTTTGAAAGTGATGTGTACACTAGATAAAAATATTTAGTGTTATAAAGAAAGCAGCAGTGTATCTATAAGGCAAATGGGATTTTGATGTCCAGAGTTATAAAAATCAAATAATGAACACGTTTAGTGCTTTTTCCCCTCTCAGCTGAAGGCCTCTTTTATAGCCTACATGTAAATAATTTATATCATAATGGTGTGATGTAAATAAATGACAATGCAAATGTGACTTAAAAAAAATTATTGTATAATTGAAAACAAACATCAGGAAAATGTTCTACCAAACACAATCAAACAAACAACAACTACAAAAAAACAAAAAGACACATTGATGAATCATTGTATATTTTGTTGTGAAGTCGATTTGATGATTCTAAAGGTGGTTTACTGAAGTATCGTGATAATGACTAGCATAACAATATGACAGTAAAAGACAACAGACAACATGTTTCTACACACCCAGGTACAGCAGTACCTAAAATCATTTCTAGAAATGACAATAACACAAGCCATTTAATAGAGCCACATTTATTTTATTGCCTCCTTTCTGTCTACACAGTGCCTCGCAACTACAGTTCAAATGATGCAGCTGTTTTATAACTAATGATTTTCTTAATCAGCTGAAAGCACAAGTCTTCATGACAAATAAAATCATGAGAATGATGCAAAGTTTTGACCAGAATATTTGCTTTAAGTAACTCTAAACTGCATGAACAATATTACAATTAAATATTTATTACAAAGTGTGTATTAAATGAAAGACTAAAGGAAAATGTATTCAAACAAATGACATTTACAGCACAGCCGTCCCATGTGAAATCTACCCTCTTTTTCTTTTTAAAAAGCTCTGATATCTTTGGTACTCAGTGAAAATATGCATATTAATTTTGGTCATTTTTAAAATTTTCCTCAGTGTTAAAGGACTACGTAAAACAATTCTAGATTCAAAAAAGAATTTTAAAATCTAATATCCCATGGCAAAGGGGGAGTGTGTTTAACAAATTCTTTTTCTAAGCTCCTTAAACTTTGGCATTTTTCAGGCTTTTCACATGACAGCAGAGACATGCACTCACAGTGTGATGATGACAAACAGCCTCAGATTTTTAACTTTAATAAAATAGTTATAAATGAACCATTTGGAGCATCCTGCTCTTAGAAATAGAGTCGTGAAACATGACATAGAAGCATTGAGCTTTTTTTTTAAATCAACAACTGATGATCTTGACAGTTTTGGAACTCTAAGGTGAGCCATGTTTAAAAAAAAAGGTTTGAGCAACTGATTGTGACTAGAGGTCAGAGACACTACGTGAACATATACCACATACAAGTCTGAGTAGGATCACAGATTTCCTTTACTGAAAGAGGAGATTCAGTAGGACTTATTGAAAGACTTTACTGAAAGAGGAGATTCAGTAGGAGCTGATAGCTGCAAACCAAAATACTTACACACACACACATAACCATAACAGTAGTAAAGACTGTTTCTGCAGTTGGCTCTGGAATCAATTCCCATGACTTTACAACAACGCCTTTGTGAAGAGAAAATCTTCCCCCCTTTCTGCTCCATTTAAGGCCACTTATTAATAATCATCACATGCTGTTGCCAAGTTCTATTCAACAGGTTGAAACTGCAGTGAAAATGCATCAAAGCTGTGTTCTGAAAAATCAAACAAGTGAGAAGCTACTTTAATTGCACCAGTAACTTTACACATGAACTCTCTAATGTCTAGAACTCACTTGAAAGTGACTGCGATGGTCAGACAAGTGAGCTCAGATGATTTTTCACATTAGGTACTGAAAAACAAGCCAGTACCAAAGAAACAATATCCTTGTTGATATTAAGATTGCATGTTTTGGTCATTCACATGATTTTTAAGAGGTTTAAGGTTATTCGGTCCAACACAGGATTCCTGTCTTGTACAAATGACACAGAGAACTGGCAAATACTGATAGCTCTGAGGGTCCCTGCGGAATTTGCTTGTCTTGATAAAGTGCTAAAAAAGGCAAGCAACAGTCATTACTCCAGTCTTTATTGTCCCAATCAGTGTCTTTAGCTCACAGTGGAAACGTCTGTGACACAGTAGACACAGATTGGAGGTTGAAGTACATCTCTGAGCTAAAACTGTCAAAATGATCTGTAAACCCAGAACTCCACAAAGGATCCAGCAGCCAAATGATTGAAGTCCATTAGCAACGTCAGTGAAATCACATCTTCACTCTGTCTATTCATTTCTGTGTGCTCTTTTCCTGAACATCTGACCAAGGTACAGAAGGAGTGGAGAAAAATTAACCAGAGAAGAAGAAAGAAATATCAAGTGCAGAGGGAGATCCATCGACAAAAAGTCACAGAGTTGCAGGGTTTCATGCATTGGCAGTGGCTTCCATGACCTGGAGTCTGTGAATAAGTGCAGAAGCCTCATCTGCATTTCCTTTCTTAGCTGGCATGTCTGTGGAAGTAACGCCCAACAGTCGCTGACTTGAGCTGAGTTACTCTTGACTTGGGTGAGGAGAGAAGGAAAAAACTGTGAACTGGATTTCTATGCACAGTCTGGGGCTGGGACGGGATGGCAGAGAAGCCGAACGAAGGTCAACATGCTTTGAATCTGCATACAAAAAGTAGCAGGTGACAAAACAACAGCCAAGAATAGTGAGAAATAGACATCTTTTCCCTCTTTGATTCCCACTATGGAGATCAGGAGTTATTCCAAATTCCCAGTACTAAATGACAGGACCTTCAGCTGTTGCCATAGCTCTTCCCCACAGAAAGGTGTTCATTGTGCCCGAGAGAAACAGGTTTTAATAAGTGCAGCTCTGAATGGCTGCACTTGAAAGCAGGAGTCAACCATGAGAACCTTCTCCTGACTGGATCCCATCATCTTGATACTCTAGTGAGCTGAAAATGATCAGATTCAAAAACATGTTTTCAATTTTTTTTTAAATACATTTAAAAAAATGTATTGTATTAATTTAGATGGGAGTTCTAAACTACAGTGAGTGTTTCCTTTCCTCTCTCCTGGCTCACACATGTACCCCACCAGTACTGGGTTACAGAAGTCTAAACTGCCAGAGGCTAATAGTCTTACCAAAATCAATGTGTTTGCATGTCGTCATGTTGGAATTACTCCGGAGTTGTAAAAGTACATGTGTCAAAGCAGAGGTGTAACAGTAAAACCCAGCAAAAGCATCTTGTTTACTTGTTGAGAAACATGTGGCTAAATCTTTCTATGGCAGCATTTCATTAGTAGGTCCTGTTGTTCAGTATCAAGGTGGAAAAAACATCTTATTTTCCCAAAGTTCATCCCTCCCCTTGTCATAAACATAACCTCTCCAACAGGCAGAGGCAAAGGGCATATGAGCAGAGAAAGGAAAAGTACACATCACAAAGTACTGATGTTCCCAGCGTCTCCATCAGACAAAAGATGTCTCATCCATTCCCCTTCCCCCCACTGAGTAATTTAGCTATAGTTCTCTAAACGCTTCCTAGTCAAACTTGGAATATGGAATGAAGGGGTCAGGGGCGCTGTGGCGGAAATACAATTCCGACTGCTAAAAGATGGTGCAGGTGGAGAATGGGGGATGACATCAGATCAATTTCACACCTGGGCCTCGGACGGCCATGCCAAGCCTGGACC